GGTGATGTTGCAACTTTGATTTATGTTTTAGCAGTGTAGATGTCGTGTGAAGTAGGGCTAATGTCCAAGCTTTGTGCAGACTACAGAAAAGCAGTTTGTTGGATGATGATGTCCTGGAATATGTTGTCTTCGTGATCTTCTCAGGATCTGGAGGTTTGGTGATACAAGCACCTTCAGAAGGCCATGCCATTTGATGAAGCCTGGAATGTCTTTAAGACAGCGGAAGTAGCAATGTGTACGTCTTGAGAAGGAAGCCTGAAGACAGGATAAACTCAAAGAGGTCCTTGTCAGGACGGAGGTGTCTGTAGGATTTGGAAGGGACATGAAAACTTGAATTTAAGGTAAGGAGGAGGATGTGAAAAGAAAGCCTTATGCCTTCGTACACTGCAGAAGCCATTATTGAAAGGAGAACCCTCATGTTGCGACAAATAGAGCTGCTCCAAATATCCGAGAACATCGCCTGCTCGCTCTCCAACAATGTCGCGCTGGCTTCCAAGGTTGCCGAGCGCAGCGGCGGCGGCAACCCCGAGAGCCCGCACTCCCAGTTCCGGATCTGGGCAGGACGATTCGGACTGAACAACCGAACACTGCAGATCCTGGAAGAGGAGGAATGTACGAACCCAGAGGTGATCGGCGCTCTGTCAGAACACGATATTCTCGATCTAAAACTATCAATTGGACAGAGAGTACGACTGAAGGCACTACGGGACAGATGCACGCAGTTGGGAGAGGCGGGGAAGGAGCTGCAATACTTTTCAGACGGAGGGATGACCTCGCCGTCTATGTCATCCTTGTCGTCAATATCATCGGTAGTTTCCACGGCTTCGTCTGGTTGTCATGGTGACAGTTGCCAAGGAGACTACACAAGTAGGTGGCAGAGTCACATCCATAAAAGGCAATGTAGTCCTTATTTGGTATAAAGGGAAAATCAAACCAAAATCGGTGACACAGGCATCTTTCCTTGGTGCTGAAATCAAGGTGGTTATTAGGTTATACCATCAAACAGGCAAAAAATTGCCATAAATATATAACACTGTCTGTTACATCAATTTCAGTGAAATTATATTCATTCTAAAGCTAATACAACAAATACCCGTGATATTAATTGAATAGGTAGACACATTTGGACATGTATTGAAACATATAGCATAACTTTTCTTTTGGCAAACACTTTTGTCCCAAAGGTTTAATTTCTTTCTGACATCAAGTCCTAAATCTAGGCTATCCATCACAACCACACACATGCATTAATTATACACACAGATGAAGCATTTAAAAACCACTTGCTTTGAATTGTAGGCGAAGGATTAGTAGTAATTGCCCCTGTGTATTATGGATGCAAACGGAATGTTGATCAAATGAATCAGGTCAGGGGTTTAATCCGTTTTCTGTGTGTCAGGGTTTCACATCATTTCACATCATTTGAAGTAAACCACATAATTTATATATAATTTTATAATTTTATACAGTCAAAGGTACCATAACCCTCTGGACCATATCATATGTACTAGTATCATTCCTGAAGAAAGTATGTAGAGTTTGAGCAATCTTCCAAAAGAAAAAACAACAGAATGTTAGTTTGAGATTGGCACAAAACCAGTGCCTGAATCTTAAATGTAGCCAATATGTTACCATGTTAAAGACATGGGACCTTGAGTACAAGTCTTATTCTTGAAAATGAAGAATCCTAACAAAAGATAAGTTATTTTTGTTCCCCTCTTAATTATTATTTTCTTTGCCTTTGTTGGTATGTACTGGGTCACATCTTACTAAAACATGCGTAACCTGCTGATAATTCCATTTGTGTAGCAGTAGCGAAGAAGAAAAGGAAAAGATGTCATTTTGAGACAAAATTTAAAGTTGGGATGTTCCCTAGGTCGGAAATGTAGCTTTTGCATAATCTTGATAAAGACACAAGACCTCAAGTACAAGTTTTATTCTTCAAAATGAAGAATCCTAACAAAAGACAGTATGTGGTTTTGAGACAAAATTTACAGTTTGGGATGTTCCCTAAGTCTGAAATGTAGCTTTTGCATAATCTTGATGAAGACACGAGACCTCAAGTACAAGTTTTATTCTTCAAAATGAAGAATCCTAACAAAAGATAAAATGTGGTTTTGAGACGAAATTTACAGTTTGGAATGTTCCCTAAGTCTGAAATGTAGCTTTTGCATAATCTTGATAAAGACACGAGACCTCAAGTACAAGTTTTATTCTTCAAAATGAAGAATCCTAACAAAAGACAGTATGTGGTTTTCAGACAAAATTTAAAGTTGGGATGTTCCCTAGGTCTGAAATGTAGCCTTTGCATAATCTTGATAAAGACACGAGACCTCAAGTACAAGTTTTATTCATCAAAATGAAGAATCCTTACAAAAGACAGTATGTGGTTTTGAGACAAAATTTACAGTTTGGGATGTTCCCTAAGTCTGAAATGTAGCCTTTGCATAATCTTGATAAAGACATATGAGACCCTGTCCTATGGGTGGGCTTATATTGATTACCCTACAGTCTGTATCTCGTAGATAAAACCCATCTTTGCAAATCCTACCATTTGGCTTGTCTCTGTGGAGATGGCATCTCTTAACCTTACATTTCGCTTCTCTCTCTAATTCCTCTCCTGATTCTGAATGCGAATCTTTCTATTTATCATAAAAATGCCTCTTTAAGGAAACAAATCACCACCATTGGCCCTTGTCCATCTATAACCAAATAAATACAACCGTTCATTTAGCTTCATTCTGTGAATCTGTCAAAGCAGTGGAATCTGTTTAAGAACTAGAAAAGTAACATTTGCAAAGCAAATGCATAATGTTTACCTTCCCATAAGGCCTGCTCTGTTAATTCTCACTCAAACACATTCACACATATGGTGACAGGAGTTTAAATCCCTCCTACTATAAAATTGCAACATACCAGTTACCATAGAGATAGAGGGTCTGGTTCAGGTCATTGACCAGGTCAGAGGTCACTGGAGAAGAAGAAGAAACTGAGCAAAAACAATATGTTCTCCTTCGGTAAACATAAATACAGTAGGAATTACATGCAAAATGTATGCAGTGTGGTAACTTTAACTGAAATTTTAACCAAACGAATGCAACTGAATAAATCTTTACTTTTCTGATTCAGAAACTGTATCGGAAACACTATAATGGAAATTTCACGCATTTTTGTATGTGTCTTGAAAATTCCATGTTGAATATAAACACATATAACCAAATATAAGCAGCATAGGTGCTTTACTACAGTTTGGAGTGTAGCACACTTCAGTGAGGAATGCGTTTCCTCCTCTACATGATTAGGGATGAAATATGATTACTTAATGACCATCTCCCCTTCCCATCCATTAGTAGAATATGGGGAGAATTGAGAGTAGGATTTAAACATTAGTAAGGACTAAAGTACACAGACCTACAGTGGTGTGCAAGGAGTACATGCGGTCTACATTTTGCATTAAAGATGTGAATCTGACATGCAAATTTAGGTCACCAATACATGTAAAGGTGCTATAGAGAAATAAAGTGATTGAGAAAGAGATAACATGATATCGCATATTCATGAAAGATATATAGATATAAGATAAAAAAAGATAGAAGATATGAATACGCATATTCATGAAAAATGAAAAATATTTCTTAAAAGCAGCTTTAAAAAAGCTTTAAATCTAGCAAGATAATAAATTTAAATCTATATGGCAAAAATTTAAAAAAAACATGAATAAAAAAAAAATAAAAAAATAGAAAAAATAACATTGATCTTCTGAAAAAATAAAAAAAATAGAAAAAATACATTGATCTTCTGGCCAGCTATGCTCACATAAAACACTGTAATTACATTTGTAGGAAAAGCAATGTAGATCAACATGTGTCTATTTTTAGACTAATAAAACAAATAAGAGACCAATGTATATATATGCAACAAAACAGTCTATTCAAGTCATTATAGATGTGGAGCACAAATGCATGACAACTTATGGTGTATTTAATATGTGTTTGAAATGATACATTGCTGTATTCTTGTACAAGTAGAGCTCAAGATATGTCTTCTCAGTCTTGCCTGAAATTTATTCTTGCACATTCATGGCAAAATATTAAAGACATTGAAATTGCACAAATCATTGATTACTAAAGTTTGGAGCTACAAAAATTGTTCTGGATGTTTTTCCATAGGCAGAGTCTAGTAGATGTACCTATAAGCTCTGTACAGCATGTTTACATGACTGTATATTCACTGCTATACCTTTTTTTCAGGGTTCTTAATCTTATGATACCGTGCATGCTGTGCTCATATTTTGATGAACTTCTTTTTACATGTACCTTAGTTTACAGAAATACAGAAAGTGCAAAGCTGCAGAGCAGTATTTTTGTAAAATGTCACTGCATGGAATCGTCAAGTTAGATATATATTTTTCATTGGAAAATCTTGCACCAATACCACATACTATGTTTGTCTTATTATTGTGTTGTACAGCCAAAATTATAATTCAGTGTGCCAATTGTGGCCAGAAAAAACACATTAATAAGACAAATAAAAATGTGGTACTGATACAGGATGCTATGTCCTTTGTTTTTTTTCAACATAAATTTTGTTTCAGATATCCTGACTGTTACAGTTGGAAATTTTCCTTATTTTCTTGCATGTCAGGTTTGTATAGATCTAGAGTGCACATACAGTGTATCTTCACTTTTGCCTGGGCACAGTCTTCTTCTGGTCACATTTCCATCACACTTTCTTTTTCACAACGTTCTCTAAGACACGTCATTCTTCTTAAAGGAGCAGAGGCTCTGTAGAACACCTTACAGCTGTGTTCTGCAGTATTTCCCACAATTCCTTTCTAACCTGTTGCCTAGGTGATCTAGAATACTGGGAAGAAGGTTCCTTCGGGCGTGACAACAACTCCCCTTCCCATGCGCATCTCTACTCTATGGTAGGCTATTTTTCCCGTTCTTTCGACCTTCCGTGGAAATGCATTTACACCGTGCATGTTTTTTCCGTTCTAGGAGAGCATGATGGGTATGACCATGCGAGGGGGAAACATAGCGAACTCTCCGCAGTCGAAATGTCAGAGCGCCAAAAGAAAATTATGCGATTCCGACAAGGCACTAACGGTGGGAGCGGCGAATCCCGTTCGACGGAGGGTTCGACCGCATCCGAATTTCAAGTAAAGGATTCTGGGATAGATACAGCCTCTAGTACGAATGTAGACGACCCCGATCAGACAATATCGCAAAAGGTATAACACCTCGTTTCTTGCTTGTTTTGATGTTTCTGTCTCAACCTCTTTGAAAATTCACCTACGAGCAAAAACTGTCTTCATTTTCTGTAGTACTACAGTCAAACCTGTCTATAGCAGCCACTCAGGCGACTTGAAGAAATTGGTCACAGTAGACTAGTCACTATGAACAAAATTCTGATTACTTGGGTTGGTGGGAAAAATACAGGACCACCAAAAAGTGGTTAAATAATGACCAGGAGGTCCTTATGGAGAGGTGGTCACTTGTATAGGCATGAATATGCATAGAAGAGGCACTGAGAGAAAAGCACAATGGGTTTTAGGTTGCTGAAAGATTAGTTTATGAAAAATAATCAATAATGCTATGGTCTGGGTAAGGCCTTTGCATGAGAAATGTAGTGTACATTTATCATACAGGGATTCCATATCTTATTTGAAATTTAGGAAATAAAAGCTGGTATAGAAACATTTCAGTTTATATTTCTAGGAAAATATATTGTTTTTTGAAGTTCAAATCCTAGAAATCTAAATCCTGTCAGAAAGAGGTATATATTGGAGTGAAAGAGTTTTTTGAAACAAGCAACTTATAGTGTCTTATATGGGAAAAAATATGATCAGAAGACCTGATGAGATAAAAAAATTGGTGACCCTATAGGATCTAATTCTCGAGAAATTGGCAGCAACCATATTTCTCATTTTAAAACCTTTTGAAACATTATTACTTATGAATTGAGGGGAAAAGATAAAACTAATGACTTCAGCTATAACTGGAAACCTTCATTCAGTTCAAGTGAAAAATGCCTACATCAGGCAGTCTTCTGTCGGCATTCATGGTTTTGTCGATGAAAATTGGTTTAAAAGATGCAGACGCCAATACTTGTTGGCTGAGTGGGCAATAATTCTGTCATTTCTCATGCCCTGTTCTCGTGTGTGGTTTCTAACTGTTGAAGTGTTTAAAGTGCTGTCCTTGTTTTCTCAATGTTTCTTTCAATATTTTGTTTGCGTCTGTGTAGTTCGTTTTGAGATGATGAGTCAATGGTCTTGTTTCTTTTTGTTTCTTTCAATCTGAGTGTGTATAATTTCATCAGGTTGGGAAGAGAAAGGTTCTTTACTCAACAACAAGTCATTGCTTCCCTGAAGAAGGTTACAGTCACTGGAACGTCGGATATAAACCCACTGGTTTTTTTTTTGTTTATTTCATTTTAACACACCTGGGTAGCCCAACTCAGCTTTGACAAGTTGATTTTCAGTGGGGCCCAGTTTACAGAAATAATAAAACATAAGTTAATACTTAAACAGAAACAACAGAGAATTGTATGTAAAATGGTTGTTGGATAAAGAACCTTATTAATATTCTATTTCTTTCAATTGTCTGTTTGAGTCTACGGCCATTCTATCTTGTACTTTTTATGAAAGTGTTTGAAATTTGTAGACTTAACAAGTTGAATGTAATTGTTTCAACATATGGTGTCTGTCAAATGTCATTTCTGACATTGTTTTTTGCCACCTTTACTTTAATCAAGATTAGATAAGAATGTGGCTGACATTAAAACATTGCAAGACATGAACCTAGAGTGCTATTCGGATGTCCTTTATTCTAAAAGACAGTGCATGCTTAATAAGTTTAAATCTATTACTGTGCAATTCAGAAAATGCATGTTTTACAGTTTACACCATGTACAGTGTTCTTGCTAAAATTTGAGAATTTCAACGGTCTAAATGGTTCAAATTGCAAAAAAAAAGACTCTCATGGTCAATTTGAAAAGGAGTATAATTTATTACTCCAAAGAACGAAAAGCAAGATGAAACTATGTAACCTTTCCATAGTAATTAGATGGAGGACATCCCAATGTTCCAATGCCCCAATATAATATTCTGACACAGGTTAGTTGTATGTCTGGTGTATGTGGCCAATTGATCAATCAATCAGGGATTTTACCACCCTAAAATGACTTGTGTGCGTCCTGTGATACTTGAATTTTACCACCCTAACATGTCCTGTTAGTGTCCTGTGATGATCTATACTTGAATTTTACCACCCTAAAATGTCCTGTTAGTGCCCTGTGATGATCTATACCTGAATTTTACCACCCTAACACGTCCTGTTAGTGTCCTGTGATGATCTATACTTGAATTTTATCACCCTAAAGTGTCCTGTGATGATCTATACCTGAATTTTACCACCCTAACACGTCCTGTTTCCCCTCTCCAGCATCCCGTGTCATGGACGCCGTCCATAGAAACCAACCGACTCATCGGTCACATGATCCTCAACAAGCGGCAGAGGAACGGAACCAACCAGAAGGATTCCGGCTCCATCTTGGGTCTGAAGGTCGTCGGAGGAAAGATGACAGAATTCGGAAAACTTGGGGCTTTCATTACAAAGGTCAAGAAGGGGAGTATAGCAGATACTGTAGGACACTTACGAGCAGGTAGGACACCCCTGTTTCTCTAATGGTTTAGTCCACATTTCTATATATGGACTTGTATATTTTCTTTGGAACAAGACTATATGACCCTGTTGTTTGTTTTGTTAAGAGGTTGTTAAGATGATTATGTTTGTTTCTTAAGTGAATATCAATTTATACTTCTGTTTATATAGGCCTAGGAAAATAAATGTTGTGTATCCTGTTTCAGTCCTGAAAAAAAAAGTTGGTAGTAAGGGATTATCTTTTTTCTTTCTTTCTTTTTTTTTAGACTTTGGCAATCTCTAGTGATCCAATTGATATGATACAATTTAACAAAGTAAAACTTGCATGAGGACACTTTAATTTTCAATGTCATTGTTGGAAAACCAATTGTACAATGTTTCATCACTCAGGTGTCAGATCATGGAGCTAGAAAAGGTCAATCAGCTCAAAAAATCTATGCCCCTTGCAGGGGTCCACACAAAAAAGGCTAGGGTTGGCAGTTTTTTTCTTGGGTCGGTCGGGAAACAGGAAACACAACTTTACAATTTTTTTCCTAGGCCTAACCAGAATTGTAGATTTGAAGTTTACCAGTTCTTAAGTAGATTGTTATATATATTTCTTGAATTTATTATTTTTCAGCAGAGTTTTGTTCACAAGTTTGTCTGGTGCACAGTGATGGTTACAAGTTGTGAGGAAATGTTTACATTTTTGATTTCGAAATTAACAAAAACTAACAATTTTTTATTTCTAACAAAAGTGGCTGCAGTTTGGTATAACCTGCTTAATCCCTGAAGCAGATTCTGAAAGCAATGTTAATCGTAAATATTTTTAACTAACTTTGTTGATTTAGCAGTTGTTACAACTGCTTGGTGATACTACATGTAACATCTGTGTCCATAATATCACCAGGGTCCTAATATCACCACCTTGAGAAACAGTGTGCTTTAAGATATTTTTACTGCAACATACTTTTGGTATGCACTCCTTCACACATCAAATGTACATACCTAGGGTATGGTACAGTAAAAATATCTTTAAGCATGTGCTATTTCTCAAGGTGGTGGTATTATGGACCCTGGTGATATTATGGACACAGATGTTATGTGTGCAGAAAAAAAAGATTACTAATAGTAATACAGGAATAGAGTAAAAGTACTTATGGTACAATGTAAGTTGCTTCAAGTTAGAATTGCAGAAATATCATGAGTGATCTCTCATACATTTTGTAACTGGATGAAGCAACATCATAACATTTTATACTTGCATGGCTTACCTTTACTTCTTTTTTTCTGTCAGGTATGAGGAGGCATAATTATAATTGTGTTTAATTTAGGAGTGGACATTTGCCACTCATTTGCTTTGTATTTGATAGAACTATAAATTTACCCATAGGTCAACTGTGAACTTAAAAACTTGCAGAATTAAAAGTTAGATATTTTCAGTATCATGTCTTCTATAGCCAACTAATAGCAAACTTCTATATTATTTGTTCATTTCATGTCCATACCTTCAAAATGAAACTGCTTTAATAGAGAATTTGTTTTAAAAAGTTGTAGTCACTGACAACAACTTTCCTTTTGAATTTTGAAGAAGACTGCAAGAGGACAGTCAAAAATTCCAGATACTCCCCAGTCTGCACAATGTTCAGTGCTTAAGACTTCTCTTTTCTTACCATTCCAGGTGACGAAGTCTTAAGTTGGAATGGCAGCTCCTTACAAGGTGCCACGTTTGAGGAAGTGTACTTCATCATCTCGGAAAGCAAACCTGAGCCACAAGTGGAGCTAGTCGTGTCCAGGCCCATGCCTATGGGGTAGGTTTGATTCTGGAGAATGGAGACCCTCTAGGGGGTATTGAAGGTTTGGCAAAGTCATGTCCATGCCCATGCCTATGGGGTAGGTTTGATTCTAGAGAATGGAGACCCCCTAGGGGGTATTGAAGGTTTTGCAAAAGCGCTTGAAGTATGGTATGAACTTGTTTGACAAAGTAGCTAGTTGCACATAGACACATTTCAACCAAATTTTGATTTCATATTGTAGGTTGCTGAACCAGTTCATATTTGGGTAGATTTCTCTGTATTGGTGAAGGGTCTATTTGCAGATGTTTTGGAAAATGTTAATGCCTGTGATCAAGTGATCAGTTGATGAAAAGAGGAAGAAACGTAGAACTATAAGTTTACTATAACATGTCCCAAAAATCTTCTAGAGATATATAAATTTCTGTCCACTGTTTACAGGGAACTGGGCCCAGGAATTCCAGAGAAAACAGGGAAATTTGAATCAAGTAAGTAGATATTTTTCCTTGAAAGTTTATGTGATAGAAAAATGCACTTGTAGTACCAACTGGAATTGATTGATGGCGCTTCTGACATGCACACAGTCACCACTATTGGTAACACAGTCAAACCTTTGACGTTTGTACAAGGGTTCTCTTCTACATGTCCTAATGTTTTTTTTTACTATCTCCTGAAGGTTCTAGTGAATCTCAAAAATTACCAGATGATGAAACAAAGAAGAAGAGACCTTCAGTGATGATCACTTCCCCTGGCAGTCCTGGTTCAAGACATCATCCTAAACTTCAGGTGAGCACCCCTATTTCCTTTGTGTGGTATCATCCACAATGTACATAACCTGCTACCAGACTATACCACTTATCTGGATTTGGGGGAATTGATCTCACCTGGGCTTGAAAACAAGAAGTGAACAAATCTGCAATTCAGAGTCTCCTGCAAGGTGTCTCCCCTGCACTACATACAGCATTTGGCTGCAGTTCTATATTTTCTCTGCTAGGTGTCTCTTTTGAAGCACTACCGTAACAGAACTGTTGACATTCCATAAAATTGACCTGAATAATACAAAATAAATAGAAAATAACTGTAAAACTACATGTATGACACTACAAAAGATATCAATTATATGAAATAGAACGAGAACAGTAATGGTAATGTTTGTTGTTTGACATTATTGTTGCGATTGTTGTTCTCTTCCAGTTGAAACTTTCGTATGACCAAAGAGGGCTACAACTTTCAGTCACCGTACTCACAGCAGTAGATCTTCCATACAAGGAGAATGGGAGGGCAAGGAACCCTTTTTTCAAGCTGCATCTCTTGCCTGATAGAAGGTGAGTTTGTTATTTTGAAAGTTCATCTGTGTTGGTAGAAATCCTTATGAAGCAAGTTTAAACTGCAATTTCCAACACAACAAATTGGACTCACCCAAATTTTTGACTGTACAACTCCAGTCTTTGTCAAGGAATGAACAATCCACTGCTTCTGTGACATCACACAGATAACACACGTGACTCCGTGAGCAGTGGATCATAGGTCGCAGAAAGTCTTGATTGCTCATTCCTTGACAAAGACTGGAGTTGTACAGTCAAAAATTTAGGTGAGTCCAATTTCTTGTGTTCAATATTACATTTTAAACTTGCTTCAAGCTGAGTTTGTGTTTCTCTTACGAAGTAGTGGCAGAAAATGGGGCATATGATAGAAAGGTCACAATCTTCCCCACCAACCTCTGCTTGGAGAGTAAAATTGGGTATCTGAATTTTGCTGGGAAATTTGAAAAAAATTGTACATGTTTCCTTTGCTTACCTATCATAAAAAAAAGAGTATGGGAATTGAACACACCCCACTACCACAATCCTCCTATAGTGGGCTCTGTTAAGCCTAATATTGGACTACAGAAATATGGATGCATGCACAATTTGATGATTTTAACTTTTGAATAAACTGTATAGTAGCTGTCTAATGCCAGGAAGACCTACATGACATTATCTAAGTAAGGGCTCTCCCCAATATACATCCTTCTGTCTTAGAACAGAATTTGAACGCCTATGTAACAACTATCATAACTACATGAACCAGTTGTTTTGACGTACATTACTGGCTTTGAATATTGTTGTTATATAACTTAAAGTGAAAAGTCTAAGGCCACACCAAGTACATTTTATGGATGACGTCCGCACGCGCATTGATTTTGGCCTGTTCCTAGAAAAAAAACCCAAGAAATTCTGCTTCCTGTAACTATGACCAAAGAGTCACGACAGTGCCGCAAATCATCAGATTGACATGAAACCCTTAACGCGAAAACAGGACAGGACAACAACTGCTGTTCCACCTGATTTATTGCTGCTTTGATGATGAATAAAAGACTTCTTGCTTGTTACACTGTGTCACCTCATTCAATTTGCGTCCTAACATTTGTCGTCTCTTAGTATATTTCTGATCTAGGCCTCTTGTTTTTTAGGGCCCTTCTTGTTTTTTTTTCGCCCTCTCGCATTAGATTTAGGGTCTTCAAAGGACGTCATCCATAAAATTTACTTGGTGTGGCCTTATATAACTTATAGTGAAAAGTCTAATAGAAATATCTCCACCATCCTTTTCCAGTGAGAGAAGTAAAAGAAGATCAAAGATTTTGCAGGAGACGAACGAGCCGACATGGAACCAGACCTTCCACTACGACGTGAAGAGTTCAGAGTTCACAGGTCGTGCCCTGGAGGTCACCGTTTGGGACTACAGCAAGGCTGGCGCCGGCGACCACGAATTCCTGGGCATGGTGAGTGGAACATACCACTTTTTAATTTAAACCTAGTCCTGCGGCACCCAACAATTGTTGGCTTGCACATACAGGGCAGACACCACATTTGCGTTGCACAGTAGAGGCCAAAAAATGGGAACACGATTGTAGTGCCTAGTTAATACCTTTGAAAATCCTTTTTTCTCTTGAAAATATTGGTCCATTTTGGAGATTTTTGTGCTGGAAGGCACAGGTAGGGTCTAAACTTTCCTACATTGGTCAAGTTTTGTTTATTTCACCAGTTTAGTGGGCGTAGTGAGAGATGTGAGTGGTTAGGTCTTGTCTGGCCAGGCGGATGGATACCAAGGAAAATGTAGGTCAAAGTTGAGGTTTTGTTACTATCATCAGCTGTGGCGGGAATTTGAGCTGGTCAACCCCCTGTTTCCTTTCTATTTTTGGGAATCAGACCCTTGTTGCTACCTGGTGCAGAAAAATTTTTGAGATTGGAGTATGGGCAAGTACTTTCATGAGGACTTCAAATAGTGTATTTAAGCATGTGTTCCTATGGACAAATCTAATAGTACTGTCTGCCCTACAGTACCATCCATATAGCACCCTGTATACAATGTACAGTGTAGGTATGCTTTGGGGGTGTTGTGCAACGCATCACGCCACAGCGAAATGCAACGAATTCAGAAGTAGCTATGCCACCGCAGGGCAAAAAAAAATGACAGGCAGGCTAGGCTAAGGAAAAAAATGTTGTGTTTCCTGAGTGTTTTGGTCCTGAAAAAAATTAGGGTCGTTAGGTAGGGATTATCTTTTTGTCTTTCTTTTTTTTGACTTTGACGATCTCTAGTGATCCAATTCGATCCAAAGTGATACAATACAGTTTAACAAAGTAAAACTTGCATAAGGACACTTATATTTTCAATATCAATGTTGCAAACTGATTGTACAACATGTCATCACTCAGGTGTCAGATCATGGAGCTAGAAAAGGTTGATCAGCTCAAAAAATTTGTGTCCCTTGCTCAGCGGCGTTTACCAAAGAAGACAGTTTTTTCTAGGGTCGGTCGGGAAACAGAAAACACAACATTTTTCTTCCTAGACCCTAGGAGATTTTCCTGACAGTTGATGGATGGCCGTGTGGGAAGATAGCAGGGAAGATTAGCTGCAGATACCTCAGGAATGGTTAACTTGTCAGCAATGAGATTGATGGGGCTTGTGGCGAAGTTTGAAATTATGATGGATGCGTAGGAATCTTTGGGATAGGAGATTGCTTGTTACTGAAAACATGAAAGGCTGCAATGCTTGAATAGAAATGCATGCATGTAACACTTGGTATTTTCTAAAATATGTATTATATTATACATTGGGATCTGTAAATTCATGCAAAAGATTAAATGTTAAATGTGTAAAAGGAACAAGAAACTTTAAGGTAACATTTGCAAAGGCATAATGTTTACCTTCGCATATGGTCTGCTCTGTAAATCCCTCCTGCTATGAAATTGCAACATGATGTAACACAACATTAGTTACCATGGTGACAGACATCTGGTCCAGGTCATTGACCTTATTTGTTTGGAGAAGAAGAGGAAGAAGAAACAGAGCAAAAACAATATCCTTGTGTGAAGATAAACATAAGTTATAGAAAAACATCAAACCATGCCAGTAGACAAAAATGATGATGATGAGTAGACAAAAACAAGCATAGGGTAGTATATTGTGTAGTGCCATTTTTACGGGTTGTTTAGAAACAGAACTACGTGACTGTATATATTTATGAATAATTTACCAGGTTGGCAAGAGACTGTATAAGAGTATTCTTTATTCAACAACCAAACCCACTGGTTACTGAATAAAGATTATTTTATTATGTAGATTTATCAGATAAGTTGACAGGTAACTTATCCCATTTTTACATTCTAACAGTGTTATCTTAGTATGGCAGCCTTTCCTTTGAATAGTCACCTCACATTATGCATGGCTTTGTGTCAGCAAAGTTTGAAACACAGCAGACAGTGGATACATCAAGGAAACATATCGGTGCCACAGTGTCTGAGTACTGGAGCAGTGGATGGCGGTGGGCTGTGTTTTGGACTCAACTTTAAAATTGGATAGACTTCTGGGATGCACGCTAGGAAAGACTATTATAAGGCCTAAGGAAAAAAATGTTATGTTTCGTGTTTCAGTCCTGAAAAAAATTAGGGTCGGTAGATAGGGATTATCTTTTTGTCTTTCTTTTTTTTTTAGACTTTGGCGATCTCTAGTGATCAAACATGATCCAAAGTGATGCAATACGGTTTAACAAAGTAAAACTTGCATGAGGACACATGTCAATGTTGGAAAACTGATTGTACAATGTTTCATCACTTAGGTGTCAGTTCCTGGAGCTAGAAAAGGCGGATCAGCTCAAAAAATTTATGTCCCTTGCAGAGGTCCACAAAAAAAGGATAGGTATGGCAGTTTTTTCTAGAGTCAGTGGGAAACAGGAAACACAACATTTTTTTCCTAGGCCTAACAGAAAATAGAAGTTTCTTCCTTGGCTGTTTTAAGATGATGGAGTGAAAATTATCTTAAGGAAAAAAACACTGAAGACTGAAGAAATTTACAGAGGTGTTGTCTCAGGCAGGTTTGATTTGATCATTCTGTCAAAATACCATTTTTACCTTATGGAAGCATTTATTTGTTCAACATACAGATTGAAAGGAAATTAATCTGCTTGACATTTGATGCTTGTAAACTATGACTTTTGAAAAATCTGAGACAACCCCAAAACAGATGACGCCCCGGTTCAAGATGGATTGACCCGCACTTGAGTCTGGAGGTCCTTGTATTCCGCTTCATTTCAACCTAGAGGGTGTCAATAATTGATGCCCTTTCCCAAACCCATTTTACATCTGACTGAGAAGTTCATTGCTCTTCTGGACAGTTGCCATGGCAACAGTGACGCATGCCCAGCCGACTGTTTCGCTCAGGTATTACCGACGGGAAGCTTCCGATTGATGTGGGGGTAGGAGGAGATGTTTTTCTGGATCTATCTCAGGTGGTGTTTTTCACATTGCCATGGCTACCAGATAGAGCGTGCTTAGCTCTCTGTGCTCTTCATCCTAGAGTCCTGAAGGTCAGGCTTTCTAGTAATAAATCCCACGCTGTTTTTGGAGATAGGAGGACGTCCCAGCAGCATGAATTGTACAAGCCATTTAATATGGAACATGCTACAATGTAGGAAATCTCTTGTTGTGCTTGGATAGGAGAATTTCCCAGAAATTTAGATGTCTCTCAGGTCTACATGTAGGTTGTACAGCTTAGATTTTACAAATTATTTGTTGCACACAACCTGATGTACACAAATAATAAGTTCACTGGAAATAACTGTGCTTGGGTAAGAGAATTTCACAGCATTTTAGATGTTTCTCAGGCCCATTTGTCTCAGTCTAGGTTGTACAGCTTAGATTTTACAAATCATTTATGGCACACAACCTGATCTAATAACAAGTTCATTGGAAGTAAAAACTTATATAAGAAAGCTAATGCTGTCTTTGGATAGGAGAATTTCCCAGTGATTTAGATGTCTCTCAGGCACATTTGTCTCAGTCTAGGTTGTACAGCTTAGAAGTTAGATTTTACAAATTCTTTATGGCACATACCTAGATCTAATAACAAGTTCACTGGAAATAAGATCTTATATAAGAAAGCTAATGCTTTGCTCGGATAGGAGAATTTCCCAGTGATTTAGATGTCTCTCAGCTGAAGGTCAGGCTTGTAGTAATAAATCCCACACTGTTTTTGGAGATAGGAGGACGTCCCAGCAGTGTGAATTGTACAAGCCATTTCAAATGGAACATGCTACAATGTAGGAAATCTCTTGTTGTGCTTGGATAGGAGAATTTCCCAGCAATTTAGATGTCTCTCAGGCCTACTTATCTGTCTAGGTTGTACAGCTTAGAAGTTAGCTTTTACAAATTATTTATGGCACACACCTAGATCTACTAATAAGTTCACTGGAAATAAGAACTTATATAAGAAAGCTAACACTGTGCTTGGATAGGAGAATTTTCCAGCAATATTTTGTAGATGTCTCTCAGGCCCATTTACATGTATCTCAGTCTAGGTTGTACAGCTTAGATTTTACAAAATATTTATGGCACACACCTTGATCTAATAACAAGTTCACTGGAAATAAGATCTTATTGTTAAGAAAGCTAACGCTGTGCTTGGATAGGAGAATTTCCCAGCATTTTAAATGTCTCTCAGGCCCATTTTATCTCAATCTAGGTTGTACAACTTAGATTTTACAAATCATTTATGGCACACAACCTGATCTAAGCAGATAAGAAGTTCACTGGAAATAAAAACTTATATAAGAAAGCTAACGCTGTGCTTGGATAGGAGAATTTTCCAGCTATCTATAGGTGGCTTTTATCTAAGCCTAGGTTTGTACAGCTCAGATTTCACAAATTATTTATAGAACACACCTTGATCTCAGCAAATAACATGCCAGCTGCACTTAAAGGCATCCAGTGCAGTTTTTAGGGCCTGGAATTCTGATTTTTCAAAGCCAATAGTCTAACCACTGAAGTACATACTGAGTTGAAACCACACTATCCCAATGTATATTGACCATCATGGAGCGAAAATTCCCAAAATTCTGACGGAAAATGGTTACTGGAAGGGCCCTTGGCTGACTTTTAGGGTACCACCCAGAAAATAAAGGACTCATCTTGGGGCTTGTTTCTGCAGTTATAAAAGCCCAAAGTATGAAATACTGACTCAAATGTGCTAATGTGGAACACTATGTCTCAATATCACAAAGACTGCCTTATTCAGAATATTTCCAGTTTTTCTCCCTGAAATCGCATTGAATGCCTTTAAGAATTCTATATTCTCATAATAGTTCTATATTCTCATAAGAATTCTATATTCTCATAAGAATTCTATATTCTCATAAGAATTCTATATTCTCATAAGAATTCTATATTCTCATAAGAATTCTATATTCTCATAAGAATTCTATATTCTCATAAGAATTCTATATTC